TAGAGAGGGAAATCTGCTGACTTACACTACAAACAAGAAGCTTGCTTCTAGTACTTAAATCAATGGCATTTCTCTAAGATCACATCTGCCAGGTGTGGTGGCTCATGCCTGTAATCTCAGTGACTCAGGAGACTGAGGCCAGAGAATCACCTGAGGCCAGGGGTTAGAGATCAGCCCAGACAACATAGTGAGACCCTATCTCTGAAAAAAATCAAACTTTTAGCCAAGCGTGCAGTGGCTCATGCCTGCAATTCCAGCACTTTGGGAGGCTGAGGTGGGTGGTTCCGTTGAGGAGTTTGAAACCAGCCTGCCCAACATGGCAAAACCTTGTCCCTACTGAAAATACAAAAATTAGCTGAGTGTGGTGGTGTGTGCCTGTAGTCCCAGCTACTCGGGAGGCTGAGGCAGGAGAATTGCTTGAACCCGGGAGGGGGAAGCTGCAGTGAGCCTAGATCGTGCCACTGCACTCCAGCCTGGGCAACGGAGCGAAACTCCATCTCAAAAAAACAAAAAACAAAAGAAAGAAAAAACACTGTAGTCCCAGCGACTCAGGAGGCTGAGGTGAGAAGATTACTTGAACCCAGAAGTTGGAGGTTGCAGTGAGCCATGACTGCAACATTGTACTCCAACCTGCACACCCAGAAATTCCTTGAAGGGTAATTTCTTGAGGCTTCAACAAAAACAAATGATTCATTCATTGCAGGGTACTGAGTGCTTATCATGTACCATTGACTGTGCTAAGTATGGCTATGGGGCCTGCCCTCACAGAATTTAGTTGGGGACATTGTACAATCATAGCTACGATACTTTCTAATGCAGCAATTCTCAACCAGGGGCAATTTTGTCCTCCAGGAGACATATGGCAATGTCTGAAGACATTTTTGATTGTCACAACTGAAGAAGTGTTATTGGCATCTACTGGGTAGAGACAGATGCTGCTTAATATCCTACAATACACAGGACAACTCCATAATAAAGAATTATACGGCCCAAAATGTCAATTGGGCCAACGTTGAGAAACCCTGTTCTAATTTAACAAGGAGCATAGGGAGGTGCGAAAGGTTAAGTAAATGCTAGTTCAGGACTTTCTAAATTAGAAAGTCAACGTGTACCATCTAATAAAAATTAAGATAAGGGCCTAAACTGTGGAGAACTCTGTAAGATGGACAAAAGAGTCTAGAATTGATTCTTTGCAAATACGAAGTCAGTGAAGAGTAACAAGATGAAAAATGCTTCTTCTTAGAGAACTTTAAATTAAAGATTAGTCTGGTTGTCACAGAGAAGCTGAAGTATAGGTCATGAATGCCAGGTTAGCACAAATAAAGAAAGAAACTGATGGCAACATTTCAAAGGAATAATCACTAGGATTGGGTAAGATAACGCTCAAGAACTCTCAGATTTCAAATCTCAGCATTAAATTTCAAACCAGAGGTTCAGCTTCCAGTGACACTTCGCATTTGCTTAAGTTAAAAGAAAAATCTTTGATTCACAATACTTCACAAAAAACTGAAAGGAGGAAGTCACCTTTTTTTTTTTTCTTGTAGAGACAGGGGTCTCACTATGTTGACCAGGTTAGTCTCCAATTCAGCCTCAAGAAAGTAACTTTTTAAAAGCTAAAAAAAAAATAACTGCAACCAGGAAAAAGGGTGAGAATAAGAGATCATCCGTGAGAATAAAAGATCATCTGTAGGTTGGAAACAAAACATTTTACAGACTCAATAGCTAACCTCCAAAGCAAAAATATACTCACTGAATCTTAACAATATCACCACCTTTGGTTTGCACATCAGGCTGTATTCTACAAAGTACTTTCACTGTTACCATTTTATTTAAACTTCTCTGAGATATCAATTATGCCCACCTAATTGAGGAAGTATTTCTAGAAAAAGCAAGAAACTCCTTTTTTCTTTTTTTTTGAGACAGAGTCTCATTGTCACCCAGGCTGGAGGGCAGTGGCACAATCTCAGCTCACTGCAACCTCCACCTTCCGGGTTCAAGCGATTCTCCTGCCTCAGCCTCCCGAGCAGCTGGGACTACAGGTGTGCGCCGCCACGCCCAGCTAATTTTTGTATTTTTAGTAGAGTCGGTGTTTCACCATGTTGGCCAGGCTGGTCTTGAACTCCTGATATCAAGTGATTTGCCCACCTCAGCCTCCCAGAGTGCCAGGATTACAGATGTGAGTCACTGTGCCAGGCCCAGAAATGTATTTATGCTGGACCTGGGCAAATCAATCAGCAAACTGCCAACCATAAAATCAAATCCAAACAAATTCAACAAGGCATTAAAAGCCCTTTACCCTGGGCGCGGTGGCTCACACCTGTAATCACAACACTTTGGGAGGCCAAGGCGGGCGGATCACGAAGTCAAGAGTTCAAGACCAGCCTGGCCAGCATGGTAAAACCCTGTCTCTACTAAAAAGACAAAAATTAGCAAGGCATGGTGGCGTGCACCTGTAATCCCAGTTACTCGGGAGGCTGAGGCAGGAGAATTGCTTGAACTTGGGAGATGGAGGTTTCAGTGAGCTGAGATAGTGCCACTGCACACCAGCCTGGGCAACAGAGCAAGACTCCGTCTCAAAACAAACAAACAAACAAACAAACAAAAGCCCTTCACAACTTGACTGACATCTAACCTTTTTTGCAGTCTGGTCTTCTGCAAAACTCCAGGCCCCAGTATTTCACTAAACAATTCAGGCCCTCTCCTGTCTCCGTTATCTTTACTCTTGCTGTTTCCTTTAGCTGACCCACCTTATTAGACATCTTTGCCTGGATGTGCTACAAACACCTCAAACTAAAAACATTCAAAATGCATTTTTTTCCCATGTCACTTCCCTAATTTACCTCTCATACTCTTTATCTGAATGGTACTACCCAGTTCCCTAAGACAGAAAGCCAGGCAATCGTGCTACTCTTACTTCTTCATTCCCATAATCAGCCTCCAATTCTACGGATTCTATCTTCTTAATATTGCTCACATATGATCCCTCTACATTCCCATTTCCACCGTCTTAGTTCATGTCTTAGTTCATGTCTACAGCAAGAGCTTCCAAACACTGGTTTACTTCCCCCATAGGCCTGGTCCCCTCCTACTTGACAGAATGAACTTTCTAAAATATAAATCTGATGACATCATTTTCCTGCATAAAACCCTTCAAAGCATCTCTATAGCTTTCAGGGTAAAAATCCAAATTCTTTAGCATGACTTACAATGTCCTCCACATATGACTGACCTGACCACATCTCACTTCCTCCACTTCCCCAACCATTACTAGAATTCCAGTGACACTGAACTAGTCGTGGTCTTTCAGCTGTCCAGTTCTCCAGGTCCTTGCACCTGTAGTAGTCTCTGCCTGGAAATCCCTTTTCCAGATTCCCTATATAGCTAAATAAATATTTCAAGAGTTAGCCTCCCATCTCCTCCTGGAAGCCTGGACAACTGGCTCAGGTATTTCTCCTCTGTGCTCTTGTAGCCCTGTGCTATGCGCTATGAAACTGTAAGCCATCCCTCATTTACTTGTCTATTTCCTCTCCCACTGTAAACTCCAGAAGAACTGTATTCTTTGCCACAAAGGTTGTCTCATTAAAATGTGCCTCATACATGCTAAGGTCTTAACAAATATCTGGTGGGGCCGGGCACGGCGGCTCACGCCCATAATCCCAGCACTTTGGGAGGCCGAGGTGGGGGATCACCTGAGGTCAGGAGTTTGAGAGCAGCCTGGCCTTCACGGGGAAACCCCATCTCTACTAAAAATACAAATAAATTAATTAATTAAAGTCTGGTAAATGATAAATGTGCTGATCTGCTCAAGGATTTTCACTTGAAGAGAGATCCCACAAAGAGCTTCAACTGACACAGTTCTGATGCTAATCTGTCTCAAATGTTCTCATTCCCCTCTTCGAACACATTCCTATTTATCCTTCAAAATTCATCTTAAAAACTCTGTTTCTTCAGAAGGGCTTTTCCTGAACCCCTTGTTACATACTTTCAGAGCACCGTGTTCTTTCCTAACTCTCATCAACATAATTATTTATTAAAGATCCCTGCAAACACTGCTAGCTCCATGCGGGCAGGGTCTACATTGTTTTGTTTTAAAGCTGCATTCCCCGCATCTGGGAAAATGCTGGCACAGAACAAACACAATTTGTTACGCTGAATTTAATCCTGTGGGGTCAGCAGAGATCTCCACTTAAATGATGAACAAAAGGAGGCTCAAAGAAGTTAAATAAGGCACCTATGGCCATAGACACTTGGCACTGAGGCCAGACCAAACCTGAGCCGTCTGGTTTCAGGTCCAGAAGTACACACCTTCAATAAAGTTAGCCTGGCTTTTCAAAATAAGAGCAGCAGCCGAGGAGGAAAAGGAGGATATCTGCCCGTAAATACAAGGATTTGCCCGCCTCTCTTTTAAAAACTCCCTAGGCATTTCAAACAGCTCAATTTGGGAAGAGGGGAAAAAAAAGTTCCACGCAGCGATGGCCTTTGACCTGCAGCAGCCTTAGGGACAACACCGACCGGAAGACTATCCCAAGTTAGAGAGGTTCCGAGCAACAAGGGAAGGAACCAGGGCTGGTCATCTTAGGAACCAGGACCATGATTCTGATTATTTTCCTCACTCGCTATGTATCTCGGACTAGCCTCTTCTCTAGGGATCAATTTACCCATCAGTGCAATGGGAGCATCAACAGGGAACAAGAAAGACTCTCCGATCTCGGAGGTTCCTTCCAGTCAGAGCACCTCAGGAATCAGGCCTCCGCTGAAAATGATGGGCGGCACTGCGAAATCAGGCAGAGGGGCCTCCCTCGGGCAACCGGACTCAGCTGCTCACCCCGGCCCCACCTCAAGAGACCGCGCCCAGGAGTCCGGGTCGGCCTGAGGGCCTCAGCCCCGGCCCTCTCGGCAGGGTTCACGACACGCGCGCAGGCCAGAAGGGCCATTAACAACACCAGGGGCCCATGGGCCCCGGAGGAGACCCCAGTCCCTACCAAGCTGCACACCCTCACCTCAGAGTTCTCCCTCACCTCCGGACTACGATCAGCCGCTCTCCGCTTCCGGCAAGAACCGCCCAGCAATCTCCGCGCGACCCACTTCCGGGCCCTCACTGGGCGCGGCACCCCCACCGGAAATGAGCCGCCGGCTGAAGCGCTAGGCTGGCCCGCGACTGGGCAGGAAGTCTCACCGCCCCGCTCGTGACTCCGCCCCCCTTCGCCACGCCCCGGAGAAAGCGGCCCAGCTCGCACAGAGGGCACTTGGGGAAAACCCCGCCCTCAAGGCGGGAGCGACGCGGGGAGGGCGGGCTCACAAGCGAGGTCACGCCCTTGTCCCGCTTTACCTACCCGGAATCGTCCCCGAGACCCGGGCGCAGGAAGGGCAGAAGTCCCTGGCTAAGCTCCTCTCTGGAAGGAACAGAAGAGTGGCCAGTTCTCTGTCAGTTTGGTCTCAGTGGCAGAGGCCGGTTCCTTTCCGCTGCAGTCCGGAAAGGGTCTTGGAACGACTGGGGTCCAGGATTCTCTGAGGGCAGGAATCCGGTCAGCCGTCAGCTCTTGGTGGGGATCGAGGCCAAGCTCCCCCTGTCTCTGGGCGTGCATACCTCGGTTTCCCCGTTTGTGACGTGGGAAGGCAATTAGTCTGGACATTGTTGTGGGAGGACTTGCGGAGACTGGGCGCAGGGTGTGGGGGTCAGTGAGTGCGCTGTGGGTCAGCCCCAACCCGGCTGGCAGTCCCGGGACTGGGAAGGTAAGAAACCCTCCGCTCTCACCCCACTTCCTGTTTGGTCGGTGTGTTTTGTGACCATAGATGGTCAGGTCTGGGGCCGCGCGAGAGCCTCCGCCCTTGTGGTTTTGGAGCCCTTCCTCCCGGCGCGCAGGGTGTGGTCCCCGAGAATAAGATGAGCAAAATTAAAGCAGATCCTGCACCCACCATGCTGAAATCCGGCTTCTGAGGCAGCCTCGCCCTGGGCTGCGCGGGCCCAGGCGGCTGCTACTCGGTTCAGGGGGAGGTTCCGCACGGTGGCTGCCGCGCGCAGGGGAGGATTCACTTCCTTGCTCCGTGGGCTGGGAGATCCGATCTTTGTTCCCTCAAGACTCACGCTCTCCAACCGGTCATTATCCTCCCACAAAGATTTATTTCTAGAAAAAACTGGCAAGTGCCACAGTTCCCGCCCCTTCGGCTGAAAGACTGTGACAGCTCCGTGTTTCAAGTTGAATGCAGGAGTTATATGCCAGAGTCAATCATTCAACAACTAAAGTTCTTATAATAACAGCTACCATTTACTGCACGCTGACTACTTGCCAGACCTATGCTGAGTTCTTCAAGTGTATTTTTATTTACTCCTAATAGCAACTCTCGGTGGTTGGTACCATTATGTCCTCTGGTTTTCAAATGAGGAAGCTGAATAACTTGCCAAGGTCAGAAAATAACTGTTGAAACTGAAGGAAACACATCTGTCTGACTCTAAATCCCATAAGCTTAATTAGCCCCTGTGATAGACCACACTGCAGTCATTTGAGGCAGTTTTGAGGCGGTGAATGCCTCTGGATCTGGAGACACACTGGGTTCCAGTGCTGACATAGGCCCTCTACTAGGGGTCAGACTTTGGTCAGGTTACTTTGGACGGGTTACTGGGCCTCTTCCTAACTATATGGCTCCCAGCATGTTTAAAAGAACATGACAACATGAAAAAATATGGTATAAAAGTCATAGTATATTTTAAATATTGACATTTAACTAAAAACACTGTCTCTCACACACACACAAACTCTAACTTTATTTGGATATAGTCTTTGACTCTGCATTTGGTTCTTCTAAATCTCTTTCTGGATTAGGGACAGAAGGAACATAGACCATACATGCATTCTAGAGGAAGAGGGGAGAGAAGAGGAAGCAGGAAGGAGAAGGAAGAAAGTTCCCTCATCTATCAAATGGGGAATATTCATGGGGCTGTAATGAGAAACAGAAGCAGTAATGTATGTGAAACCACTTTGTAAAATGCTTCATTATAAAGAATGTACACACGACTTAAGTTACAGCCCCTGCCCTAAGGAATGTCCGGTCTTTTAAGAAGTCTAGATACATGCACTTGTAACTCCAGTAAGAGATTGGAAGATAGTTGAAGAACATCCATCACATGAAGGGCTGGGCGCAGTGGCTCACATCTGTAATCCCAGCACTTTGGGAGGCCGAAGCGGGCAGATCATGAGGTCAAGAGATCAAGACCAGCCTGGCCAATATGGTGAAACCCTGTCTCTACTAAAAAATACAAAAATTAGCTGGGCGTGGTGGCAGGCATCTGTAGTCCCAGCTACTTGGGAGGCTGAGGCAGAAGAATCGCTTGAACCCGGGAGGTGGAGGTTGCAGTGAGCTGAGATTGTGCCACTGTACTCTAGCCTGGCGACAGAGCGAAAGTCTGTCTCAAAAAAATAAATAAATAAAAGAATATCTGTAACATGTATTTATGCACTGAAAAAAATTATTGAGCTACATAGTAGCAATTATTGGAAGAGTTCAATAATTGCTATGTTATTTTGTACCAAGCACAACTGGGGATCCAGCAGTGGACAAGTCAGACCCTGTTACTGCTCTCATGGTGCTTACAGTCTATTTTGGAAATAGTATTACCATTTGGAGTGGTCATCAGAAGATGTGCTGCCTTCTGTCTTCCAGCTTTTTCCTCCTCACTGATCTTGCCCCTTGTCCAGGACCCATTGCTTCATCCGTGGTGAGTTCTCATCTAGCACATGTTCAGTGAGTGCCTTGAATTCAGAATAGTAATTTCCTAGGCAGAGATGGACGGACAGATCGTTGCAGAGCAAACATGAATGAACAGTAATGGAGATGGGAATCTGTGCTGGGCTGAGGTGAGAGGTTCCTGCAGGAGAGGAGTAGGAGATAAGGCTAAAGAAAAGGGGGTTGAGCAAACTGCCGGGCCAGAGAGGTCAAACCTTAGTGAGAAAGCAAGGAGGCACTAGTCATACTGTATTTTAGAAATAAAAATCTAGCTACCGTGTAGGGCATGGCCTTCAGTGGGCAACAAAAGAGGCAGGGAGAACTGCTAGAAGATAAGCACAAAGATCTAATCAGAATCTGAATCAAAGCTGTGGTATGCGGATGCAATCAAGGAGAGAATGCAGAAGATACTGTTCTCATAAAGGGGGAAATGATGGTGATGATAAAAAGACAATAAATGAAAAGGGGATAATTTGCATATGAGACTTCAGACTAGATCTGGTACAGGTCCTATGGTTTGAATGTTTGCATCCTCTCCAAAATTCATGTTGAAACTTAATCCCTAATGCAATAGTATTAAGAGGTGAGGCCGTTCAGAGGTGAGCAGGCCACGAGGACACCTCTCTGGTGGATGAGATTATGCCCACTAAAAGGGCTGAGGGAACTAGCTAGGCCTTTTGCCTTTTTGCTTTCTGTGCAGCTAGAAGGTGCCCTCTTAGAAGCAGAGACCAGGCCCCCACCAGACACTGAACCTCCTGGCATCTTGATCTTGAACTTCCAGCCTCCAGAACTATAGGAAATAATTTTATTGCCGGGTGCAGCAGCTCACATATGTAATCCCAGCACTTTGGGAGGCCAAGGCGGGTGGATCACCTGAGGTCAGGAGTTCGAGACCAGCCTGGCCAATATGGCAAAACCTCATCTCTACTAAAAATCCAAAAATTATCCAGGCGTGGTGGTGGGCGCCTCTAGTCCCAGCTACGCAGCCATAAACCCAGCTACTCGAATCTCCTGCTGAGGCAGGAGAATTACTTGAACCTGAGAGGTAGAGGTTGCAGTGAGCTGAGATCACACCACTGCATTCCAGTCTGGGTGACACAGCAAGACCGAAAGACAGACAGACAGAGAGAGAGAGAGAGAGAGAGAGAAATAAAGAAATGTGTATTATTTATGAAGTGCCCAGTCTAGGTATTTTGTTACAGCAGCAAGAATGAACTAAGACCATGTATACATTCTCATTCAATACTGCTTTTCCTTCTTGGCAGGTATTACAATCCTTATTCATCATTTGTGCAATTATCTTTTAATATCTTCCTCTCCTGTAAGTTCAGCGCATTCTGAACCTGCAGAATCACTTTGTCTCTGAGGGAGCCACCCAGGTTTCCTCTATATCTCTCAGGATTTCAGACACAGAAGTCTGGCGGTTCATCTGGAGCCTCTCCCAGCCTGACTCAGAGGACTGCCTGCATCTGTGCAACCTGGCTCAGAGCCTGTCAACGTTTGGGCAGATCCTATATCCCCCTGCCAAATGGGCTAATGACAGACAACCATCTGTGTGACCCTATCTTTCTTCCCCTCCAAGGGTATGGCCCCAGATTTCAACCTCAGATAGGGTATCAGGCCCAAAAATTAGGAGTTGGCAAAAGAAATAGCTGCAATATAGAAATATGATTAAGATCTGGTTTTGGGGTCACTCTGAAACTGAATCCCAGCTCTGCCAACTGTGTGATCTTGGAGTTATCCTCATTTAACCTCAGAGAAGATATTAATACCCATCTTAAGTGGTTGATAGGAATTAGGACAGAAAACTAATAAAACACTTGGCTCACAGTAAACACTCAATGAGTAGTAACAATTATTACTAAGTATAGAGAACCTATTGTCTGTTTCCCTGGCAAAGGCCACCAGAAAGCAAAATAAGGTCTAAAGTGTCAACATACTAGATGGTGCCAACAGAACTACAACTGTCGCTATCCCCAGAAAGTTTTCCCATAGTCCCCGCTTCTTTGTATTGCTAACTTTTTTTTTTTTTTCAGAGTCTCGCTCTGTCGCCCAGACTGGAGTACAGTGGCACGATCTCAGCTCACTGCAACCTCCGCCTCCTGGGTTCAAGCAATTCTCCTGCCTCAGCCTCCGGAGTAGCTGGGATTATAGGCACACACCACCATGCCCGGCTAATTTTTGTATTTTTAGTGAAGAGGGGGTTTCACCATGTTGGTCAGGCTGGTCTTGAACTCCTGACCTTGTGATCCGCCCGCCTTGGCCTCCCAAAGTGCTGGGATTACAGGTGTGAGCCACTGTGCCTGGCCTTTTCTTTTTTTCTTTTTTTTTTTTTTTTTTTTTTTTGAGACGGAGTCTCACTCTGTCGCCCAGGCTGGAGTGCAGTGGCCGGATCTCAGCTCACTGCAAGCTCCGCCTCCTGGGTTCACGCCATTCTCCTGCCTCAGCCTCCCGAGTAGCTGGGACTACAGGCGCCCGCCGCCTCGCCCGGCTAGTTTTTTGTATTTTTTAGTAGAGACGGGGTTTCACCGGGTTAGCCAGGATGGTCTCGATCTCCTGACCTCGTGATCCGCCCGTCTCGGCCTCCCAAAGTGCTGGGATTACAGGCTTGAGCCACCGCGCCCGGCCTTCTTTTCTTTTTTTAAGACAGAATCTTGCTCTGTTATCCAGGCTGGAGTGCAGTGGTGTAATCATAACTCATTGCAGCTTTGAACTCCTGGATTCAAGTGATCCTCCTACCTCAGCCTCTGGAGGAGTACCTGGGACTACAGGTGCATGCCACCATGCCCAGTTACTTTTTGTATTTTTTTGTAGAGCTGGAATCTTGCTATGTTGCTCTTGCTGGTCAGGAACTCCCAGCCTCAAGCAATCCTCCTGCCTTGGCTTCCCAAAGTGGTGGGATTACAGGCATGAGCCACTGCACCTGGCTTGTATTGCTACCTTTGGACTCAAAGTTAGGCCAGGTGCAGTGGCTCATGCCTGTATTCCCAGTATTCTGAGAGGCTGG